ACCTGGATTGTATGTATTTGTATTACCTGGATTGAAGACCGGATAAAGTTCGAAAGCTTTAAAAAGTTTTTTTTATTAATTAATAAACTGCCTGCCCAAACCAAACCCTAATTAAATGTAGGCGAGCGATTTCATGCAATAATATGACCATGCAAAATACTATTTGATTTTAAAAACTTGACCATGACTATTAAGATGTTTTTAAAATTTGTATAAATTTTAAAATTGCACTGAAAAAGTTTTCTTAAAGGGATCCCAAAGTACCAAGACAAGTTGTGTTTATTTTAAAGAGACTGAAAAAAAAAAGACGTTTAGGCAGAATTTTTCAAGTAAAACAAATTAATAACTGCATACCATCAAAAACAAACTTTGTTGTTTTACTCGAAGCTTGCCATCTCCACAGTAGCAATTCTTTTAAAATCTTTAAAATATACGCCGTAGTCTACAGGCTTAATAATTTATTCAAGCGCATTTAATTCCAAAAAGTTTTAGTAAATGATGTCATTGTAGAATTTCAATAAGAAATCTTAAAAAAAAATTTTGTTATTAAATTATTATTATTTTTTCCATTATAGGTTATTAAAGAATTTATTTAGTTACTTATCATTATATAAAAGTTTTTTTTTTTTAATCATAAATTACTATAGAATTTATTTAGTTATTTTAAATTATTATTTTTTTGTTATTTTACGAAGTTCACATTAAAAATATTAATAAAATATTTCAAACATTTTAAGCTTGTTTATTGCTATAAATTAGTTTTGTGTTATATTTATTGTTATTAGAATATTATTATCCATATTAAGGTTCTGTTAAAAAAATTATTTTGTTTTTTTTTAACCTTATAAAAGTTTAATTAACAGCATTTAGAAATGGTTCATAAAGTAGATATGCTTGGGTGGGGGAGAGAGGGTCTGCAAAGAGCGTATATGAAATGGAGGGCAGGAGGTCAATTACAAAAGTACCAAGACACTAATGTAAAAAAAATATCATAAAATGTTGGGTAGGTAGGTTAAGAGCATAGATAATTTTAGGGAGATGGAGGGTACTTAAAAAACTATAGCAAAATGTGGAATGGGGGGGGGGGTAGAAGGGTCAAAATTCAGGCGTACTAACGTTATGGATGACCCTTTATTTGCAAAACTTTTCATTGGGTTACATATATTCTCGAAATACTTATTTAATCAAGTGAGATATATTTGATATAATTTATTCTATAAAACATGTATTGCTCATTTTATTTTATTTTTAAAGTTAAATAGTTACTGTTAAAGATTACAAAAAAAGTGTAGTATTATCGAGTCAATTTTGAAATCGAAATCGTTTAATGAAAAATCTTTGATTGTCAATTTTGCTAGTTGTTTGATAAGGGAAATGTAAAATACTTGCCAAATACGACATATAAATTAGGAAATATTTAATATAACTATTTTTAACAGGCGTTTTAACACAATAACAATTTTAATTGCCATCTGTCTTGAGTTATTGCCATAAAACATTTATTGCTCTGTCTGTAAGTTTGTAGAGTGTAAACTATAAAAAAGCGCAAAAAACATTCTTCACAGTTTTAATTTGACGGTTATAAAATATTAAATAGTAAATTTATAGCTGAAACTTATAATGAAATATTGCAGAGTTATTGGTTGTTCTAGTAATGAAAAATCGGGTTCTCATCCTTCTTTAAACTACTTCGGACCCAATTACTGTAGATTTATGGAAAAAGGCCATTGGATTAAATAACATCTCAAAGAATACTAGAATATGTTCCTTACATTTTGATGCTTCTTGTTTTGACAAGTTCAAAGAAGAAATGGTTAAATCAACTTCTAGAAGAAGATTTATTTTTCCAAAATCAGTTCTTTCCATATTTCTTTGTGGTAGTAATTTGGCTAAGTTGCTTTTTTAGTTCTATTGACTCAAATCATATTTTCTAACTAAATTAGTTTAAATCGTAATATTTCATTAGGGTCTTTTTTACATATAAATACGCGTAAATCGTTATTTTGTCGCATTGGTTTGACAAAGTTCTAACTTTTTTGTTTTTTTTTGAATTAGGAAAATAGCAAATAAGTCCTTTTTTTTTAATGTTTAATTAAAAGTATTTATATAAATATTTTTTATTTATGTATTTTTATACATTAATAATAAAAAAACATAAACAAATAAAAAAACATTTACATGAATAATTTTAATTAAACATTTAACAAAATTACACGATTTTGTTTTTTAAATTCTTAGAAATTTAAACTTAGAACCTTGTCAAACTAACATAACGATTTACAACAATGATGTAATTACTGTAATATAAGTTATGAGGTTATATATATATATATATATATATATATATATATATATATATATATATATATATATATATATATATATATATATATATATATATATATATATATATATACACACACATATATATATAAAGTGTATATATATGTATATATATACACACATATATATATAAAGTGGCAAAGGAAGGTTTTTAAATGTTTTTAAACAAGAAATACTAAAATTTTAGCCCCCCTGCCCCAAACGTGAGAACAACAAGTTGATGAAATATTTTTGTACTATTTTTAATTAGACTTATATTTATCAAGAAATTTTAAAATCCATAGTATAATTTCTCAGCGTTCAAAAATTAACGTTTAAACCTTCCTCAATTTGAGGGAGTTCTAAATGTTCTGCGCAAGAAGGAGTTCTGCGCAAGAAGGAAACCTTCCTCAATTTGAGGGAGTATCTAAATGTTCTGCGCAAGAAATGGAGAAATTTACTCAAATTTAAGTAAAAAAAAAAATTTGGTAAATAAAAGCAAATTTATTTAGAAAACTAAAATAAAATTTTTAACAATAAACTTATATATAAATTTTTATTAGAGGTTTCTTTAAATGAGCTGTCGTCTATACTTTTAAAACTATTTAACAAGTGCTTATCAGAGTCTTGTTTTCCAGCCTAATCTTCCAGATATTCTCAAATCTAATGTGGCATTGTTCGCTGATGATACTATCATTTATTCTTGTCTTGATAACACTCTCTGGTTGTTTGGAGGGGGCATTTGAGCTTGAAAAGGATCTCACTTCAGCTACTGCATGGGACTTGTGGCTGGTGAACTTTAATTCAGGTAAAACTCAATTTTTTTTTCAGCCAATCGTTATTGTAATGATTTAGATCTTCTTATATTTATGAATGGTAATGTATTTGATGAGTCATCTACCCTTAATCTACTAGGATTAACTCTTACTTCCAATCTTTAAAATTAGCATCTGCTAAGGTTGCATCTCTTTATTGAACTCGACACTTTCTTACTCTAGATTCTATTTATCTCTATAAATCTCAAATCTGGCCTTAAATGGAAGACTGTTATCATAACTGGGGCGGATCTTCTAATGATGCCCTTTCTCTTTTAGACAAGGTGCAAAAACGCATTGTAAACATAGTTGGACCTGCTTTTGCGCCAACCTCAAACCATTATTACATCTTTGTAATGTTGCTTCTCTTTCTATTTTCTACAAATACTATAATGGGCACTGTTTTAAAGAGCTAGCGTCTCTTGGGCCATCTACTAAAATTCATTTTTGTGTTACTCGTCATTCAATTAAGTCTCGTCCTTTTTCTGTGGCTGTTCCTAAATGCTCCAAAAACTCTTATTCCTCTAGTTTTTTTCCTCGAACATCAATTCTTTGGAATGCGCTTCCTTTATCTTGCTTTCCTAATTCATATAATTTGCAATCTTTTAAGTTGTCTGTCAATCGTTATCTTGCTCTACAATCTTCATGTTTTCTCTTCCTGTAACTTCCAACTCTAATAGTGGTTGCTTGCAGCTCTGCAATTTGTGGGAAGCGAAGATGTTGAAAAAAAAATTATTAAAATTCCACTAAAATGACATACTTGATAACATTTTCTAACTACAAATTAAAGAATTTGGCTATTATCTCTAATAGATGATGTCATTTACCAAAATTATTTATTAATTAAAAATTTAAAAGTTTGTAAAATGTCATTTCGATAGGAGAATAAAAGGGTCTTAGCAATAAAACGGCTTAGATAAATTAAAGCAAAGTTCACATTTACATAAAAAGAAAAAAAGATTCAGAATATATAATTAGTTGATCAACGACTTTTTTTATATATTTATTTGATTTAAGAGTGTAATATAAAAATCTTAATTTTATTCTCCTGCTCTATAAAAAAACATTCTTATGTTTAGCTTCCTATAAAATTTATCGGAAAGTCATATGGTTGATAATAAATCCTTTTTTAAAAAACAAATAAAACAATAGCAAATAATATTGATTCAAAAATAAAATTCCACAATGACGTCATTTACTAAAACTCTTTGAAATTAAACATGCTTGAATAAATTATAAAGTCTGTAGGTTGCGGCATATATTTTAAAGGCTTTGAGAGAATTGTTACTGTCAAGACAACAAGCTTCGAGTAAAACAACAAAGTTTGTTTTTGTTGATATGTATTTATTTTTTTTTTACTAAAAAAAAATTCTGCTCAAACATTTTTTTAAATCATTCTCATTATAAATAAATTAAAAAAAACTAAAAAAAGCAATTGAGTCTTCGTAAAAAAAAATAAGATAAAAATAACTAAGATAAAAATAACTAAAAATAAAAATTGAAATGTTAACCATGCTCATATCGATAAAACAGGATATTACTTGCATGATCATAAAAAGGCTTGTTTTCGCACAGCTTCCTGGCAAAGCCTGATGTAGCAACATTCCCTGTATGTTTTACAGTAAAAAACAAACAAACATTTAGAATGTTTATATTTTTAAAAAATGTAGTTTAATGATTTTTAAAAGTAGGAAAATCTAATAAGTTTTTTTATGAGTACTAAAATGTTGGTACTAGCTTGCATAATTTAATGATACATTTTTCAACATTATTTGGGATATTATGGTGGTAGATGATATAATAATTAAAATATTGTTTTTTTGATAGTTTAAAAATAGTTTTTTTGAATAATTTTATTTTTAGGGAATCATGTTGGTATATGATATAACAAACGATAAATCTTTTGAAAACATAAAAAACTGGATAAGAAATATTGAAGAGGTAATTTTTTAAATTCTTTTTGCTTGCCATTATGATATTTAAATCAGGGATGCAAAGTCATATTGATTTTCATGGACTTTGGAACTCTAGCATCAAAAAAAAGAAATTTTATGGACTCTAGACTCTGAAATTTTTTTAAATAATTTTTTGATTCAATTAATAAGAGATTTTAGCGATAAAATAGTCCCTGAAATGCTAGAGTAAACTATATAAAGTTTCACATTTTCTGTAAAAAAAAACTTATTGAATTCGTTTTTAGTTATATAGTAAGATACATGCTTAAATGTTATAATATCATTGATAAAGGAGGCACCACTCAAAGAACAGGTTTGCTAATTCAACAATTCAAACAAAGACCAGGTTTGCTAATTCAAAACTTAAAAGAAAAGTACAAATTGGCTAAAGTTTTGGAGAAAGAATTTGGAGAATTTGGAGAAAGAATTTGGAATTTCCAAGAGTATTTTGTAGAATCCACGATAATAGTTTTCAGCATTTCCATCAAATGAATTAGTAAAAAAATTTTTACTAGAGACTTATCTGCAGTGACTTCTGTGATACTTGAATTTATCTCTATTTGATTTTAAATTTTTAAGTTAAGCCTATAGCATTCATCTTTGGCAAGCTTTTTTGCAATCTAGACCAAATTATTTTGAAACCTAATAGGATGAAGAATAACTTGCTGCTTTTATTTTTTACTAAATTGGCATTAAGGTGACAAGTCATCTTGCGATATGCATTGTTTCTTGCAAAACAAACTCATAAATATACTTTTTTCACTTTGGTTAGATTAAATAAATTAGGTAGCCTAACATTTGATTTAAATTGTGGTCTGTTTCCAACAAATAGTAGCTATAACAGCATCAAATCTATCCAAGTTAAAATCTGCACTAGAAAAAGCCATTTAAAAAATATTTAATGCTTTCTCAGTTCGGTCACTCCAAAAAGTTAAGGTTTTTTTACGAAATCTGTAGATAAGCATTTCCAGACTAGTTAAATATAATGACTATGCTTTCCAAGCCTTCCCCGGAAAGGCGTGGGGTTTTTTGTCTCGTATGACCACACACGATTCTATTATTTTAGAAAATGTGAACACGACCATTTGCAAGTTTTATAATAATGCTGGAAAAGTTTCAAAAAAAAAAAAAAAAAAAAAAACTGACAAAATAAAAAGAGATTGAATAGAAAAAAATAAAAACAAAATAATAATTTAAATAATTTGTGTACTGTTTTTATTTTTGTTTCTTTAGAGTTACATTCAGCAACAAAATTAGATAAGGCGAAGCAAAAAAAAAAACAGAAGTCTACAATAAAAAGAATGATTTTCCTTTTCTTAATTTTTTTTAAGAGGATAGCAAAAATACAAATTGCAATGTGTTTGTAAAAATTTATTTGTATAATTTTAATGTAACAACAAAGGATGAATTAAGCGAATGCAAAACGCAAAATCTGAAAAAATATCTAGTATTCAAAATTTTAGTTTATACAAAACCGTGTTCCTTGTTTTTAAGGGGAGAATCAATTTAAATTTGTTAGCGAAAAAATAAAACAATAAACTTACGATTACAAAAGTGATAACACTCTTGTCACTAACTGCATTACAAAAGTAATAATACTACAATAGTGTTTTTACTTTAATAACGCACTTATAACTTTTAAAATTCATTCTTTGTTCAAGCAACATTAGTATACCCAAATTTTAATTGAAGTAGAAAAATATCTAGAAGAATAATGTGGATGTTCAAATAATATTAAAACTAAAGTAACTTATAAAAACGTGACAAACAACTTTATGAAAATGTATCGTATTAAAAGTTTAGCATTATGAAACCGTTACTAATGGACCGTAAAAACGCGCGTTAAATTTAAAATTAACTAATAAAAATTTTTTATTGGTTGATTTTAAAATTAACGCTATACTTTTTATAAAGTACTTTTTTATAACGTTGTTTAAGTGATATGTGAAAGTTCCTGAAATTTTTAATAATATTTGAATATCCGCTTTATTTTTTCTAGATGCTTTTCTACTTTAATAAATGTTTGGAATTAATAATGTTGTTTGAACAAAGAATGAACTTTAAAAGTTATAAGTGCTTTATAAATGTAATAACACTATTATAGTTTTATTACTTTTATAATGCAGTTAGTGACTAAAGTGTTATTACTTTTGTAGTCGTAAGTTTATTGTTTTTGTTTTGTTTTTTGTAACTTTTCTTGCTTGCAAACTTTTAATAATTTGCTCCTTATAAACAAAGTACACAGCTTTGCATGAACTAAAATTTTAAAGACCTAATATTTTACCAGAGTTTGCAAATCGCGAACACATAGTTTAACTCTTGATATAAACTTGTTACATTATAATTATACAAATATATTTTACAAACAGATGACGATACATATTTTCTCTTTCCTCTTTAAAAGAAAAAACACATAAAATATGGGAAAGTCATCCTTTTTAACGCCTAAAACCTTTGCTTTGACTTAATGAATTTTGTTGCCGATAATAATAACCACTAAGAAAAAACAAAAATAAAAACAACACAAATTATTTAAACTATTATTATTGTTTTCTATTTAAGTTTAATTTAATTCTTATGTAGTTATTAAATTTAAAACAATTTTTCAGTAATGCATATAATATAACTTGCGCAAACAGCCATGATCACGTTCTCTAACTTGAAAAATGTTTTCATGGTCATACAAGACGAAAAATCACAGGTCTTTCCTGGGAAGGCTTGCTTTCATACTTTTTTTTATCAGTAAAACCATATTTGTTAGTTTAAATAATATTAATAGGAAAGCAAGTTAGAAAAATACTTCCATTTTTATAGGCATTAATGCAGGTTTGAGTGTGTAAATATTTGTGCCTAGGCATAACTAGGCATCAATGTACACTAAAGGTTTTGTACACTGCCTATGCTTTGATTTGCCTTTTATATTCTTTAAAAGCAATGTATGCTTTTGACAATATATGCCATAAACATGCTGTACATTTTTGAATAATTGGTAGAGGGCTTACTATACGCAGCGTAATTCAATATATTTGCACATTTACTGGTTTAATTACTTAATTCTTGGCTAAACAATTTTTAGTTGATAAACTTATAGAAGTTTATAAGGGTTTGTTAGGAAAGTTAATATGCTAATATAAAATTATAAAAATCTCGTAGTCCTGGAGTACCAACAATTTTATGGCGAGCAGGACTCCCGAATATTCGTTGTTGTGTATAACAGACATATGTATTTTTTTTAAACAAGGATTTTAATGGGTGGTGAAACGGGGTTGAGGTATTGATGGGATATTATAATTTTAGGCATTATTGTGGGCAGTAATAGATGGTGTGGTGCTCGTTCTTGGTGGTATTGGTTGAGGTATCAATGACATTTTATAAACCGATTTTTATTGTTGACTTGATTAGTTTTTAATTTAATTTATAGCATGCTGCAGCCGATGTAGAAAAAATGATACTTGGAAATAAATGTGACATGAATGATAAAAGACAAGTCTCAGCAGAACGTGGCCAAGCTTTGGCTATGGATCACAATGTTAAATTCATGGAAACTAGTGCTAAAACCAGTGCAAATGTTGAAGAAGCCTTCATATCTCTTGCAAGAGATATTAAAAAGAAAATGGATAGGAAACTGGTATTCTATATTTATTTTTTTATTTTTAATGGCCCAGTGCCCAGCTAAGTTGTGTTTTTGGTCTGACTAATGCATTGTTGACATCAACAAAAATAGTTAATGTAATTAAAGTTAAATTTTAGATTTTAGGTTTTCCTTTTTTTTTTTAGATTTTCCTCTGATATAGAATTTTTAAATAATATGTATATATGTATATATATTTATATATAAGTCATAAATATGTGTGTATATATATATATATATATATATATATATATATATATATATATATATATAAAAGTTATAAATATGTGTGTATATATATATATATATATATATATATATATATATATATATATATATATATATATATATATATATATATATATATATATATATATATATATATATATATATATATATATATATATATATATATATATATATATATATATATATATATATATATATATATATATATATATATATATATATATATATATATATATATATATATATATATATAGGGCCTATTTTAGGAAAAAGAATTTAGGCGGTGGTACCCCTCTGTCCCAAAGAAATTTAGCGGAAAGTCGCCAAGAAAATTAACATATTTCGTACAAAAATGTAAACAAAATATATATATATATATATATATATATATATATATATATATATATGTATATATATATTTATATATATATATATATATATATATATATATATATATATATATATATATGTATATATATATATATATATATATATATATATATATATATATATATATATATATATATATATATATATATATATATATATATAGTATATATGTATATATGTATATATGTAATATGTATATAAAAGTGATATATATATATATATATGTATATATATATTTATATATATATATATATATATATATATATATATATATTATATATATATGTATATATATATATATATATATATATATATATATATATATATAGTATATATGTATATATGTATATAAGTAATATGTATATAAAAGTGATATGGAGTTTTTAAGTAATATTATTATTATTGTTATTATAATTTTTATTAATATCTAAGTAAAATAAAAATTCAATAAGTTTGATCAAATCAACATTATTCTTGATAATTGTCGATTATCCATTATTATTTGCTGATGACTCAACTTTATTCTCCTGTCTTGACAAAAAGTTTTCTCTTTTTGATCCCATATAACAGGCAGCCAATCTTAAGTCTGATCTCACTTCTGTAACATATTGGTGCTTGCAGTGGCTTGTAAATTTTAACCCCAATAAAATTCAGTTATTTTCTGCAAACAACTATCGCAATACTGTGCAAATTTCTATATTGATGAATGGCAACCCTCTCACTGAGTCCTCTTCTTTACATCTTAGATTTTAGTTCACTATTGACCTCACAGGAAAACCATATATACAATTGATTGCTAAATTAGTATTTGTTAAAAGTTAAAGTTGCTTCTCTTTATTGTGCCTGCCATTTTCTTATTTAATCGATTGCTAAATTAGCATTTGCTAAAAGTTAACGTTGCTTCTCTTTATTGTGCTTGCCATTGATTTTTTCCTAATTCCATTTTCTACCTCAAATCTCTTATTCGTCCATGTATGAAATACTGTTGTTACATTTAGGCTGGTTCTTCTAATGGTGCTCTTTCTCTTCTAGACAAGGTCCAAAAACGCATTATAAACTTACTTAGACCCGCTCTATCTGCTAAACTTAAGCCTCTTTCCGACCATCGTAAAGTTGCATCTCTTTCTTTTCTACAAATACTCATGGTTGCTGCTTAAAAGAGCTATCATCTCTGGTTCCATCTACTAAAACTCGTTCTTGCTTGACTTGTCATTCAGCAAAGTCTCACCCTTTTACTTTTACTTGAATCAAATCCCTGAATGCTCTAAAGACTTTTATTTGTATAGTTTTTTTCATTGTTCTTCATCCCTATTTTAAAACATGAAGATGTAAACTCTCTCCCATCTTCTTGCTTTAAAATATATGTGTATATATGTGTGTGTGTATATATATATATATATATATATATATATATATATATATATATATATATATATATATATATATATATATATATATATATATATATATAGTGATTTCGTCAGTTATCCGTTTCAAAAACCGGATAACAGTTCTCGTCAATTTGCGGTTAACCGGTTATTCGGTAAATTAGTGACGCTTTCCGAATACAGAATCTTCTAAATTTCAACGAACGTAGTGTTTTAAACTAATTTTTTAAAAATTAATGTTAAAGTGTACATTTTCAAGACAGTTAGTGAATACAGTCCTATATTATATATTGAAAACAAAACATGGAAAAAGATATATATTTTTTTTATATTATAATATAATATACCTTTTTAATTATATAATTAAGGTAGGAATAATGTACAAGTATAGTTTAAATGTTTTAATATCAGCGGATGTTTTAAAATCATTCTCTTATATAAAAACATTTGATATGGAAAAATGAGATGTTATAAAGTAAATTTTTTTTAGCGTGTATTTTAAAAACTTATTGTTATGCGGACATAGGTGGAACTTGAAGATAAACTTGAATGTTCTCAAAACAACTTGTTGCGTAAAGATAATATAAAGAATATTTGCTAACACTAAAATACCGCCAAATCTGGGTATAAACAAATTCTATTGGTTCAAAAAATATGCTGAATAAGCGAATTAGAGTTCCATAATATTCTAAAGAAACTTTCTTAAAAATGTATTGCTTGAGTTGTAAAAGTAATAAATAAATCTTTGAGATTTCTATTGTAAATTGTTTTAAGAATATATTATCAAACAAAACTGATTAAATTAACATTTAAATTAATAAAAGAAATATATTATAATCTTTGATAAATTAACATTTGTCAAACAATAATCGTCATAATTACGATGTTACTTTCTATAAAATTTCGTAAAATTTTTAAGTCAGTTTTTATTATTCGAAAATAGATATTTGATATTCAAACAAAATCCGGTTAACCACAAAACGGGATAACCGACGAAATCACTATATATATATATATATATATATATATATATATATATATATATATATATATATATATATATATATATATATATATATATATATATATATATATATATATATATATATATATATATATATATATATATATATACATATATATATATATATATATATATATATATATATATATATATATATATATATATATATATATTATATATATATATATATATATATATATATATATATATATATATTTAGATAAATGTTTAATTAAATATAATAATATAAGACATGACTTCAGAAAAGACTTGTTTTAAAAAAGATTGGTTACAATATATTTACAAAGATTGGTTAGGAGTTACTGGAACAAAGTTTATATGCAAAATCAATAACTGCAAGACTTTTAGTCAAAGATCATAAGCTATCAAGTAATCTTCAGCCACATAATTTCAAAATTACAAACAAAATGACCATCAATGTAAAATCTGCCGATAAAAGATATAGAAGTTACCTATGTTCAGTCACATACAATAATAAAAAAGAAGCAAATAAATTTGCAAAGAAAGTTGTTAGCAACAAACAAGACAAGATCAGCTTAAGAAAACTAGTGAAATGTTTTAATTTGTAAAATTTGTTGAGAAAGCAGAGGAGAACCAAGTCTCAATTTTTAAAGCTGATGCTGTAAAACAAAAAGCAAATAAGAAAAACTTCAGGGAAAAAGGACATGAAAACAGGTTAAAATCAGGCAATAACCCTGACAAAAAAAACTAATAAAAAAATAATATTAATAAAAGTAGTTTATTAATCTAAAAGAGATATATAAATTTAAAAATTATCTAGAAATATGTTAAAAACAAAATTCTCTTATAAAATCTAAAAACTAATAATAATATTTTAATTTTAGATTTTTATTAATACAAATAAAATTGATTTAAAAAAAAAGCTTAATTTAAATTTAATAACATTTTTCATGTTGCAAAATTTCTTTTTTTATTTAATTATATTTTTTGTTGTTGTTGTACTATCAATGCAAACATTACAAATCTTTGTAATAAAAATAAATGCAGTTGTTGTGGTAATCCAGTTTGTGGAAATAATATGTCAGGGTTACAGTTAGGGAGAATGAATAAAGAAAATTTTTTTTATACAAATTATCAGGTATTTTGTTTTTATACAAATAATCAGGTATTTTGTTTTGTACTTGTATTTATAGGTATTTTTTACGCTTTTACTTTTATTAGTTAGGCCTTAAATATTATGGGTTTGCTAAACAAATAAAAATTTTGATTGCACTAATTTAACATGTTTCCACATGGTTCTTAATGGTTTAGACAGATTTCCAAAATATTATTATATTTATGTTATTTATATTTATTAATATTTACACAATGAAATAGTTTGAGTCATTTTCTAGGTAAGTTTCTATCATCAAGGCCAAGAAGTATCACCTGTCACAAAATAAATCAGTTCAACAGAACAATTTAACATTATGAATAGGGCATCAAATTAAATTGAACTGTTTTTGAAATTTTCCTAGCCACTGTTTTTTAACTTATTCTTCTGCTAAGATGTTAATAAAATCAAAGGCGCAATTTATTAAAAACTGCAAAAATATATTATTATTATTATAATATTTGCTGTTCCAGAATTTTCTAAGAGCAATATTTAGTTTTTACCAGACAGCATTTCTATTTCAATGAAATTAAATATAGTATTTTTTATTTTATTCATATATTTATAATATCTGTATTAACAAGAGTTTTTTTTATTTATAATTTTTTCATTCATAAATTAATTTCTATTAACACTTAAGATTTAATGCTGCTCATCAATTGTTCTATTAATCATTGTTCATCAATTAATAAAATAATGTTCTGTTAATCATTGTTCATCAATTAATAAAATAATGTTCAATTAATCATTGTTCATCAATTAATAAAATAATGTTCAATTAATCATTGTTCATCAATTAATAAAATAATGTTCTGTTAATCATTGTTCATCAATTAATAAAATAATGTTCTGTTAATCATTGTTCATCAATTAATAAAATAATGTTCAATTAATCATTGTTCATCAATTAATAAAATAATGTTCAATTAATCATTGTTCATCAATTAATAAAATAATGTTCTGTTAATCATTGTTCATCAATTAATAAAATAATGTTCAATTAATCATTGTTCATCAATTAATAAAATAATGTTCTATTGATAATAAAATGAGTTAAGTGAGTCATAAATAAGAGTTTTATTTTACTAAGAGCAGTAGTTTTGAAACATAAAAATTTAAAGCAAAGTCATTTACAATTTAGATGGTTAAGATGCATGACTAAATTACATTTAGTCATCTTAATCTGTAAATTTGTACAAGCATTTCAGTTTTTTCTCTTTCTACCTAATTTCTAGTTTTGCTCTAAATAATACTATAGGATCAAAAAAATCTTTTTATGGGTCCAGTACTAGTTGGGAAAGTGTGCAATTGCCATAAAAATCTTGCAAAGTTTGCAGACAATTTGGAAGTCTTAGATTTTATTCATTTCTATAATTTTCCACCAATTAGTTGCTGATGTTGTGCTTTTTACACTATCATTAAATAAATGTATGGAAACAATTAGCATCTTTTAGTTTAAATGCATAATAGCCCGGTATAAATTTGGAATTGACTTTATTCACTCATTCATCTTCAGCTTCTTCTTCTTGACTTCTATCCAACGTTCTTCCTAAGTAAATAAGTAAAGTTATAAGAGTAGTAAACTTAAACCAATATTTTACATCTGTATTTATTTCAATTTCATCACTTGCATTTTTTTACTTTTTTTACAATTTTATATAAGGTTACCCTTAATAATTAGATCTTTTAATTAGGCTGGAAAATGACACAGAACGTTTGCTTTCTTAAAGCTACTGGTAACATGTAACCCAGTACAATCTGCTTCATTTCCTGCTGCCTTGTAGGATACACTTTTTTAGGCAAAGACTAAGAGAAGCCAACTCCGACTTAAAACACCCCATGCCTTGAGGCCCTTGGTTGACTAAAGGCTAGAAATGGTGTCTCAATAAAAATACTCATCTTGGGCAGATGTTAAATGCATCCGGCTGCTGTCTTGTAGAAGGCCTCCAAGGCAAAGACTTAAGGGGTAAACAGATTCTATCTGTTGACCAGCCTCACACCCCTTTTTTATCTATTAGGCTGGCGCAGATGTATTTTTAATACGTTGTTTCCAGTTTAGACTGTTGAATGCTGGATCTTCTTGAGTCAATGCATGGGTTTTGCTTGTGTCTCTGTTTTTATGACTAGGCAATTCATTCTATTATCTCCTAATGAGGGTACAGTTAAAAAACTTTGTTTTATGGTTCTGAAGGTGGCTGGAAGTCAGGTTTCCTGAACTCTGTGGTAGCTTTCAGAGAGGCTGATTCCATCAACAGCTGAAAAATATCAAAGCATGATATTACGTATCATTAGCATATATAATAGTACCATGTTGCGCATGAATGGTGTCCCTGTTTGTACTTCTGGTGTGCATTGTCAAGGCCACGTTTGAGCCCTAAAACTGTTTTATGAATTAATTTACAAATATACATGCTAATACCACCATATCATATTTTTATATATGTAAAATACTTGCAGATTAAAAGTAAAAAGCATTACTTTCAACTTTAGCAATGTTTTTTATTCTGATATATTTTTTTTAATATTACATATTAGTAAATTTTAAAAAGTTAACTGAACATACATTGAAAACTTATTGAACATACTATGTTTCAAAATATAAAGTAAAATATTATTGAGTAGCATAGTAAGGACATATCAGTTTGAGGGGAAGTGACAGCCAGGGTTAGTGATTTGAATGGGAAGGGTGAGAGAAGTGACTCTCTACTTGAAAAATATGGCGGAATAGGCTATTACCCACTTCTAATCCTATTCCTACAAGAAATTAATAATAACTGGAGTCAATATTTGAAAAGTAAAAACAGTTGAAAAATAAAGAAAACAAAAAGATTAATCTTTATCGTATTTATTGTTTTTTGCAGTAAATTTCCGGCTACTTAAAATAAAATTGTTAATAACATGTATGTATATGTATATATATATATATATATATATATATATATATATATATATATATATATATATATATATATATATATATATATATATATATATATATATATATATATATATATATATATATATATATATATATTTTTTTTTTTTTTTTAATTATTCACCTCCCCAAGGCCCGTGGGGGCCACTACAGTCGAGGAGGCTACTCAATTTTTTTTTTTTTTTTTTTTATGTTGTTGTTGTTGTTGTTGTAAATCGTGGTACAACCCTCTCTCAACTCTTTAACTCTGAAACACGAACCTTGACAAGCAAGGCCACTGCGCGGAGAAATTAAGTTGAGCGCGGTACTTCCAGGGACGTGGTGGGAGTCGAACTCCGAACCTCTCACTTTCAAAGCGAGCGCTCTTTCCACTACACCACTACCGCATTATATATATATATATATATATATATATATATATATATATATATATATATATATATATATATATATATATATATATATATATATATATATATATATATATATATATATATATATATATATATATATATATATACACAGTCGTGTGCAGTAAAATAGTAGTGCGCATTTTATTTTTCTATCAACAAACTTTGAACATCAAAATATATTTTTCTATTGTTTGTTTTTTATCGTTATTGTTCTTAAACTAAATGTTGTGATTATAATAGTATAAAAAAATTTAAGAAAGATAATTGCGTCACTGAATGGTTTAAATTTCAATATTATCGATTGAAGGACATTCGTATTTTTTTTTGTGCAAAAAAATAGTAGTGAAAAATTAATTTTTGTGTAATATTTGCTGTACTTATTAAATTCTAAATATTTTTAGTTCTTAATAATAAACAATAAGTAAGGAATTAATTTTGATATTAGATAAATTTATACACTTACTAAAATTTTGAAAATTTAGAGAAACATGGGGCGCTCTAAGCATTATACTGAAGAAGTTCGTAATTTAATTATAAATCTTAAAAATCATGGTAAAGCCTACAAACAAATATAAGAACTAGTTGGATGCTTACCAACAATGATTTGTAATGCTTTAAAATGGATACCCAAAACAGAAAAACGTGGAAATAAAAGATCAATTACCGCTATAGAAGATCGTCGATTTGTATCGTTAGCGAAAAAAGGAGTCATTTATTACTTCTAGAAAAATTAAAAAAAGGCTAGAATTAAATGTTAATACCTCAACTATTCAAAGACGATTAACACATGCCGATTTAAATGCAAGAACATTTAAAAAAGTGCCACTTTTGAGTAAAAGACATATTAAAGATCGTTTAATATTTGGACGTATGCATGCTTCTTTACCTAAAGAAAAAATGGCGAAATGTTTTGTGGACTGATGAAAGCAAAATTTAAATTTTTGGTTCCTATGTTCGTAAACAGTATGTTAGAAGACCAACGAATGCAGCATATAAGCCACAATTTACATTAAAGACCGTCAAACATGAAGGTTCTAAAATAATGATTTGGGGTTGTTTTTCTTACTATGGTCGAGGGTCGATACATCGCATAGAAGGTATCATGGATCGGTTTGTATATGTAAAAATACTTGAGAAGATCGTGCTGCCTTATGCTGAAGAAGAAATACCATTAAAATTTTTGTTCCAGAAGGATAATGATCCCAAACATACGAGCAAGTTAGCCAAATCGTGGTTTAATGAGAACAAAATCGATGTGGTGGAGTGGCCAGCAAAATCCCCCGACTTCAACCCGATTGAAAACTTGTGAATTGATGTTAAACAAGCAGTTTCTGAAAATAATCCAAGAGGTTGTAATCAATTGTGGGACGTAGTACATTCAGAATAGCAAAATATATCTGTCGAACGATGTCAGAATCTTATTAATTCCATGCAACGAAGATGCTTGGCGGTTATTACAAATAAAGGTCATGCCACAAAATACTAATGTAGAGCTTCAAAAAAAAAATTTTTTTTGTAATAAAATTTAATTATTTTTTGACCTTTTCATAAAAAATGATTTTCGCTACTATTTTATTGCACAGCCTAAAAAAAAAATACGAACGTCCTTTAATCGATAATATTGAAATTTAAAACCATACAGTGCTGCAATTATCATTCTAAAATTTTTTTTATACTATTATAATCACAACATTTTGTTTATGAACAATAACAATAAAAAACAAACAATAGAAAAGTATATTTTGATGTTCAAAGTTTGTTAATAGAAAATTAAAATACGCACTACTATTTTACTGCACACGACTGTATATATATATATATATATATATATATATATATATATATATATATATATATATATATATATATATATATATATATATATATATATATATATATATATATATATTGACACACACACACTTTAAATAAAACAGATATATATCACTTACATCTTTATTGAATGTTTCTTTTGCAATTTTTATTGTATCGTTAGCAGAATGAATGCAATATTCTGTTGCTTTTCATTGGCTTCCAGTATCAACTGCAGAAGTTAGATATCGCCTAGATTTACTTTTCCTGAGGTCTTTGATCATTACTTTAAAATCTTATTTTTCTATCACCTAGATTTACTTTTAGACTACTTTTAATTTTTGGCCGTATATTTTAAGTGTTAACTAAATTTATTGACAAGTTGCTATGTTTCTTGATAAGGTTCTTTTTTTACTAGTTGCTATTATTTTTTTATTTGTTATTTTTTCGGCTGGTTGGTGTTTATGTAAACAGGTTTATTGTGAATAATTTTGAACTTTTAAAAACGTCTTACAATAATTACTTTTTGAATTACTAAGAATTATAGTTGTGTATGTATTTGTTTTATTTATTGTATATACAAATTTAGATTTATTTTTTAATATTGTTTTTTCTTTGCAGGAAAGTCCTAATTCTAATTCTAATGATGGAAAGATTAAAGTTACAACGGAGAATCAACCTAAAAAAGGATCGTGGAAATGTACAATCTTTTAGAATTTTATTGCAAGTCGCAATATCATTAATTAGTCTCCATGTGAGCGTATGCTCTATCAGTGTTAACATCACTAAAAACTTTATTTCCGTCACTTTTCATATTTTAAGTAAATATTTTTGACAAGTGAATGGCTTGAAAGATGAATTATTTTTAATAAATTATTTTCTTTATCCAATCATAAGAAACACTACACGTCGTTTTGCATCTTCAATGAATAGTAAAATAAAAATATTAAATTTTTTAGCGAAATCTGCAATGCGTTTTCTTTATCTTTAAAAATTTTGTGGAAAGTATATATTTTCTTTAAATGATAAATTTATGTACCCTACGTTATTGTAAAAATGTGTATAAGTAAGAAGCTAAACTATTGTTTTTATAAGTAAGCCACTAAGCTAATCATTTAGTTTGTTATTTTAAATTTCAATGAGTTGCTCGATCCGTTGTATAAAAATTTTTTGTCTGCTTTTTAGACTTTTTTAAACTAAGTTTGAAATTTTTTTGTTATTTTAAAAAAAGATTTTTTTGTTAGTATAAAGATTGTTTTCAAGGTTAAATTAGGTTTTTTTGTTTTGTTTTTGTTTTTATAGTTTTGAATATCTGGGTAAATTATTTTGTTGTTCTGTCTATATATTCTTTAAATAGATGAAGAAAATTTTTTTGTAGCTCTGAATAGTTTCGAATATCACTTAAAAAATTAACTTTTTGAAAAATTTAAAATGTAAATTTTGTATAATAAGCCTTGCGCAAAAAATGCCTACGAAATATATATCGAACGCAAATATGTCAGTTTACTGATCATATTTGCCTTCAATACATTTTTATTTGAGTTTCAAAATATAAAATATTTGAGTTATTGAAAGTCTGAGCTACATTTTGGTCATTAAAGTCGTTATTTTGGTGAAAATTTCTTCTTTTTTTTTGTTATCTTAACAGTTATTGAGTGTTTTATTTGGTCTGTTAAGGATGATGAATGCCAGTTTCTCCCCAGCGATTAGGGATGCATTAATACATTTTCAATACACTGACTTACAAACTGTCTTTTTCTTAAAAAGAATACTAAAAACACAAAAGAATTTGTCCTCTATTGACTTCGTTCACTATAGTTTATTTACATTAAACGAAAATATTTAGTAACGATACGAAAATTCAAAAACTACTGATACGATACATGTTCGACTTATAAAGTGTTATCATTTTTCACACATAAGTCATGGATAATAGTAGGTAAACCTGTTGTACCTTTGACCACTTTTTGCTTTAAGGTGTTTTTTGCGTAGTCTGTTGAGTAAATATAAACCATTCAAACTATATAATATTCTCTCATATTTTTCCCAAAAATTATACTTACGACTTTTTTTTCATATGATTAAGAAGTATCTTTTTCCTGCGTTTTAAAAAAAGTAATCAATTGGTCAAAGGTACAACGTACGTGTTGTACCTTTAACTGATGCGCGTAGTTCCTTTGACCAAAATGTTATTAAAAAATCATGCAATTTTAATGACGTCAACAAAAAATGCAATAATAAAAGAGTATAATATATTATTTATTACAAATAGATCAACATCAAATTTCATTTAAACACACGTCAGACTGACTAAAAATAATCTTTTTTGCTATTTCTTTTGCTTGAAGAGGACTTTTTAAATTGTTGGTTATTAGATTTTAAATCTCGAATAACTTTAATTTCAGGTGTATCAGTTAAAATACGTGATTTTCCCTTACGTCTTTTTGAAGTATTTGTTTTTCTTAATTTGGCTTTAAGATGAGGTCATTATCTCAGTTGAAATAATAAACGATGTTGATGGTAAACTCACAATAGCGATTTCCTCTTAAACAATAGATGTTGTCGGTGGTAAACTGGATGGAGCAGTTTTGACATCAATACTTTCATTAGAAATGCAAGTTTCAGTATTCACTATTAGCATATCAGTAACATTTGCAGTTAAAAAGTCAATATCAGTAATATTATACACCTGAAATTAAAGTTATTCAGATTTTAAATCTAGAAAAATTTGGTACAAGAGCATGAGGATACGCTTAACCAATATTTTTTTGTTGTTGTTGTTGCAATAAGCATTCAAGTGCAGACGCGTTTTTATCTGTTTTAAAAGAAAAAAAAATTATTTTGTTTAAAAAAATTTAAAAGAAATAAAAACGTATTGTATTTTAAAATAAAAAAAATGGCAGTTACACTTGTTGAAATTAAAAAAACGCTACAGGAAATGTTAATGGAATATAGAAAAGAAACAGAGCTAGAAAAATTGTTTGTTGAAATTTTAAGTACAAACACGAAAATCATTAATGAGCGGCTTGATAAAGTTGAACAAAATTTTAAAGAAAATGCTAACCAAATCAAAAGTTTGGTAAAATATATTGAAGACATTAAATTATCTTTAAATTTTCAAGAAGAACTCTTCGATAAAAAAATGTAAAAAGTCTATGAACAAAACAACGAACGCTTTGAAAAGGAAAACATGCTAGCGGAAAATAGAAACGAAAAATACAGAAAAATCGAAGATAGATCTCGGAAAAAAAAATAGCGAATTGATGGAATACGAGCTTTAAAAATAATATATTATTTTTAAAGCTTTGTTTTGTAGGTTACATAACCTGAAAAAAGCATTAGACATGCATTGTTCCCAAACCTGACAAGCGTATCTAAGATGAGATCCAAAAATTGCATGATATATATTAAGTAGAGTTTCATAATTGACATAGTGGCGAATTTTGGCTAGCATCCCATTTGATCTTCACAATTTTACTGCTAAGTTTTTAAGATGAGAGGAAAAAGATAGATCTGAGTCAATTTGGATTCCAAGATATTTTAATGAAACTACGGGAAAGATTTTTTGTCCACTTATTCTAAAGTTTAGGTTTTTATACATTTTAGATTGATTTGATTTGAAAATAATAAGTTCAGTTTTGTTGGTATTAAGACTTAGTTTGTTAGAGCGCAGACTTAGTTTGTTAGAGCGCAGATTGAAACCGAAGAGAAAGTTTAATCATACTTATCAAATAAATTAGGACTGAATGGAGTTAAAATCGAGCAAGCTCATCGGACCGGATTGAGAAAGGATAAACGTCCAAGAACAGTTTTTATTGATTTTCTTAGGCACAAAGATAAAACCAAAATCCTTCAAGAATCGCACAAATTAAAAGGAACAAACAAGTATATAAACGAAGATTTTTCCCTCGATACCGTAATAATTAGAAAGAGATTGCTGACTGAAGTCAAAAAACTGAATGTTGCCGTCAGGTATGACAAAATTATTAATCTAAATTACGCTTTCATAAAAAATAACGAAAAACCTACTATTATAACAAATAAAAAATAAAATATGATCAACCATATAAATAGCTGTAAGAAAATAATTACATTCAACACGGTGGAAACCAATATACCAAACTTTTTAATTATGTCTCACAGAGATAATATATCTTTAACAAATGACATTGATCCTGACGTAAACATTTTTGACAAACTTTCAATCGAAACTGATTATTTTAACGTCAGTGAGGCTTCTTCCTTTCTCAGCTCTTCATCAACTTTTTTTTCGAATTTTATGCAAATAATGCTTATGATCTTTTTATACGCTTATTTTAAAAACAATACGAAAAAGCTTTTCCAAAACCATAAAAACACTTCCTTCTAAAAACCTGCGTAACCCTTCGATGACAAAAGGACTTGAAAAATCTTTAAAAAATCAGTCACCGAGAACCGTTTAACAATGCGTTAAAAATAAAGCCAGTTAAATAATTAAAATAAATGACGTTTAAAAATGAAATTTAAATTTAACCAGATATTTCAAAAGATAAAAAACGTTTAACAACATAAAGAATATATATGAAACTAAATATTTCAAAATAAAACAATATATTTAGGAACCATACACTTTTTTAAAAGGTATAAACTCAAAAGAACTCAAAGATATTATCAATTGACAAGATAACTTTTTTCAACTTAATTTTAAAGTAAGAAAACTCCAACTTTGGGAAAAATCAAAATTTTTCAATACTACTTTATTCCACAGAAGAGCTCCGCGATATGTTAAAAGAGATCTTCCAAAACTTGTATGAGAATAATGTTAATGAATAAGATTGTGATTTCTTAAGCCATATTTGTTTTTTTATTTTATTGCATATAAATTTTGAAAGGATATAGGGGTTAGGTTTATCTTACATTTGTACGTAAATAAAAGAACATAAAAAACATTTTGCTGGTATATATTAAGAACATTCATTTCCAATAAAAGAGGTCTGGCATGAGTATAACGATCTTTAAAGTTTATTAAACGTGCTATATGCTTCTGTTGCCGATATAGAGGATTTAAATGAATTTTTTTAGCACTACCCCATGCGATATTTGCATAGTTTATATGACATTGAATTAGCGAGTGATAAAGTTGAATTAATAAAAGTCTATTTACAAAATTTCTCGCTTTATACATTACTCCAATATTTTTTGAAACTTTATTGCGCAAAACTTCGATATGGTTTTTCCAAGTTAGATTTTCATCAATGAAAACACCAAGGAAATGTATAACTTTTGATTTTTTTATTTGAACATTGTCAATATATATTTGAGGCATATCATTTAGTAAAAGTTTTTTTGGGGATTTTGAATGAAATAAAGTCCATTTAGTTTTTTCCAAGTTAGTGATAGTTTATTTGACTTAAACCAATTTGAAATTTTGACTAGTTTTATGTTGATTTCATTAATAGTGTAATAATATTTTTACCGGATAGAAAAAGATTTGTATCATCAGCAAACATTACTGTCTTCAAATTTAAGGCATTGTGCAGATCATTAACATAAATGAGAAAAAGTAGTAACCCTAGTATAGACCCTTGGGGAACACCACATGTTATATTTAGTAAACTTGTTGAAGAGGATACGTCAATTTGCTCAAACTGTTTACAATTGCTTAGATGGCTTTTTAGCAAATTTAATAAATTTCCGCTGATTCCATAGTTTTAAAGTTTTTTTATAAGAATCTCATGATCTATCGTATCAAAGGCTTTTCATAGATCAATGAAAACTCCAAGAGTAAATTATGATTTCTCAAAAGAATCTGCAATATTATTAGTTACATGAAGTATGGCGTATTCCGTGGAATTATTTTTTTTAAATCCATATTGACTGGCATTTAATATTT